ATACTTATACATATATATATATATATATATATATATATATATATATGGCAAAGAAGAAAGTGTATTTATTCCCGATTTTATCTCCAACATCTATATTAGTTCTTTTCTGTCACCGTTTGAATTTGCGTGACCTTGAGTGTTGCGATAAAATTTGTAGTGGTTCGAAAGTTACACCTCTGATTTGGAAAATATTTTAGGCAAAGCAGCATGAGAGTTCATTCATGTTAATAAATGATTCCTGTTCCATGAGAGTGTTTGTTAAGTTGAGCACATGTATTCTAAATTTATAATCTCTTTTCATTCAGTGCACAGTAAATAAGCAAATTAATGAAAGTTTTCTAGCTTAAATAAATTGATAAATTATTTGGCTACAAACTACTCACGCATTATCGACAATACTGGAAGAACTGAAAACTTTGTCCAAGAAGCACACAAGTTGATCTTGGAAAGTGGACCTTGAGATGTGCGGCTCGTTGAATAATCGTCCTGTAGTGTCACTATGCCCAAATCGAGAGACACGTACATCCGATGTTGCACGAGTTTGGTCAATACCTGTATAACAAACCGAACTGTATGTGTGTGTGGGGCGTCTGCCGAAGACGATTGTGGGCCAGTTTCCGAGTAACCAACCAGAAGCGCACAGTCGGGGATAATGAGATCGATTGAAAAGTATAAATGTGAATGTGCTGATTGGATAGTGAGTTATGAATATCAATGTTAACTTATGGTTCATATTACTTAGTCCGTTTGATCACCTACAGTATTCCAATAGCTATATACGCGTGGAGTTCCTTTAGCGTCTGGACACTGCGAAATTCGGTAACTGATTAGTAACGTGATTTCGACTGCTAAAGTAATTGTACTACATATCCAAAAGACAGGACCGGACGAGGAGAGTTATTTATTACGAACAACGGTAACGCTATCGGCAGACTGACGTACATACAACAATCAGACGTCTCATTTGCAACAGGTCATCATAATTCCCCCAACCAAGCAGGACAATTGATGAAACGGTCTAACAGTAGATGCGCATTTTATGTAGTTACAAAAGTAAGCACTTCAATCCACTCGCAAATTTCATGAGAATCCAATAACCGTTTCTTAGTGCATGTAAACTACTCACAAGTATGAGTAGTACCTCACAATGCTAGTTACTGCACTATAGTATGGTTTCTGAAAAATTCAGTCCCAGTTGTGGCGTTGGACTTTATAAGCATGATTTCTCACCGAAAAGCATTGTCCTTTTTCGCATCATTTATCCTCGTTTAGAGTAAACAGTAATAACACACCGGCAGGTGTTCGATTCCTGGGCACAAACCTGATTGAGCTCGATTACACCGACTAGTGGTCGAAGGCAGTATTTTATTTTTAATGGGCATGGATTAGATTTAATTTTTGGGACATAGTTGAGTGCCCTTTTGACAAAATACAATTATCCCAAATGTCTATTGAAGTATTGAAACAGAAAAGTAAGATACGGATTGCTATTTGTGATTTATGTGATTTTTCAAGAATAACTTTGTGGGGGTCACAGTTTGACCGGGGGGGGGGGGGGCCGGATGTGGGTATGTTCTCGTAGCTGGAAGTGCTTTTGTTCGCAACGACTCGACGCGCAAGGAGGAGGACGACAATCAAAGCTCCGGGGGAGAAGCCACAGATGCGCAGCCGGAAAAACGAACAACAACGAGCAACACTGCCATACCTACAAGGAGTCTCAGAAGTGGCAGCCAGATTATTACAATCAACAGGAATTTTGGTTGGGCACAAGACAACAGTGACAATGAGGGCTATTCTATCAAGGTTGCCGAAAGATTCCTGAAATATGGTATACACACTGGCGGTCAAACGACACGAGGATAAATCACAAATCTCAATCCACATGGATACTGAGAATCACGTCTTCGAATTGAACAACGCAAGAACAATTGGAAGAGGAACCATCCAATCAATACGGGAATTCATCGAAGCATGGCACCGCAGAACATACAGTATAAACAAGCATATAGAACTGGAACCTATCTAAGAAAGCATTGGTGACCGTAAACGGTCCCAGCCGGGACCGGTTCAAATCGGTTTTCGGTTGCTCAACGAAAGCGAATTGACCAATGAACCAAGAAGGGAAGGGGTGACCAAGACAAAGAATCAGCCAATCAAATTGCAGCAAATAGTCGCAACTGATCAATAAGATTCAAAAGACGCAAACAGCCAATCAAAACCCTCAATCAGAACTCTGTAAGCCCAGTCAAGCTGAGGATGGCGCTTCCCCGAAGTTGTACTGATGATTTTGCCTAGACTGGTTGGGAAAAGTCTATGAACAACACTTCCAGCGCTCGGAGAACACACCAACGTTGTGTGGTTCTGATACAACAGCACACGCAACCGGTGGCCGGAATTGCCAGTACCGAGCTGCATGCATAAAGTTACGAATGTAGTAATCGATCAACTGAGAGAAGTAAAATAAAATAAATAGTGTAGATAAAAGATCATTGGTTTCTAATACACTATATCCAGACAACACTCGTGTTCCGTTCTTACTGGCATCAGTGCGCTTGGGCGAGCCAAAATTGATCTCACTGGCTCTGATCCAACCTGTGTGGCATAATCCCCATGCTTTGAACTACCGTTCTTGGCCCGTGCGGAAGATACCCAGTCGTCCAGATATTCAAGAATGATATCCTCCCGGGTCCCCGTGAACTCCATATCGACTGAAAACTTCATTACTAATACCACGGCACAGACAGTAGTACAATCCAAGTCCCACCGGAGCCCCTTTGTACGTCCAATCGGGACTGTCCCACTGGAGGCGAATCACGAGCAAGTACCTTCAAATCCCCTTTAAAATGCAAATGAACTTGCATCGGACTCAATAGGATCTTTTTTATGTTGGGTTGGATTTGGTCAAAGCACAATCTGCTTTTTGTGATGGTTGCCTAATTTCTTATCCGTTGCGGGAGGGAAGCGACATCCGGCTGTCTGTGAAGGGTCGAGTGTATGCTGTAGCAGTTCGGCCAGTCCTGCTCTACGGTGCAGAGACTTCGCCACTAAAGGAACAGGATAAAGATAGATTGTCGGTGTTCGAACATTGCTGTCTACGCAGCATTGCACGAATCTGGTGGGGTAGCCGGATGAGCAATGCTGAGGTTAGGCGTAGAGTTTTAGGCAGTCGCGGTCGTCCACTAGAGCAAGTGATCGACCTCCATAGATTACGTTGGTTGGGACGTGCTACGCATGTCACCAGATAGGTTGCCACGGCGAACGATGTTTGGCAAGGCTAGTAGCGATTGGAAAAAAACAAAGGGCGGTCAAGCTAAGACATGAGGGTATGAAAACCCTAACCAGGAGACTAGGTCACATAGGCCCCGTTAGGCTCCCTGGCTGGGNCACTAGTTGAGAGAGAAAGGTAGCATCACAAGGAGCGAAAAGCGAGCCAATGACTTCATTTAATTCAAGCATAAAACTGAAACAGAAATTCTCATCTTGACCAAAAAGCTTTCATTCGCTGTTCACAATGTACCAATATTTTTCACCGCTAAATTAACCAACTGTTGCTACCCGGTGGTCGACAGACTGCACTGTTTTCACGGGGTAAAGTACTGCTTAAGATATACGAAGCTCTAGAGTTCAGAAAAACCCGTGTATTAATTTCACGACGCTGGAAAAGAACAATTCAGCCCAAAAGTATGACGTGGCATACAGATATTCATGCACGTATGGATCACTGCATTCCAATCTCTCTCTCTCGCGCACGCGCACGCGACAAAGTCCACACAAACTGTGAGCGTGAGTTCATATACTTACATCACACAAATAGGTGAGAGCTGGTTTCAAAAAACTTCCTACGATTCCGCAAGGGAATCTGCCGTCAGATGAGAGTAAGGAAGAATGTGCGTCAGATATTTAGACATTATCTTTTATATACACACACAGTATTGACCCCATTGGTGCACATCCACCCACCCACACGTTTTTCAACTTCCATCTGACCGGCACACGTATTCTTCAGGTAAATAGAAATAGATAGAAGTAAACGGTGAACGAGGCATTATTATAGTCGCGAGTAGTTATCAATTGGCTACTCACGTGGCTTCGTGAGCGAGCCAATTGAGAATGCGATTGATTGATGGATTGAGATACCAGTGTGTGTCAATCGGCGAAAAGACATCCAAATCATGCACAGTCAATTTTATTTCCTGGGTAGTTTGACGTTGCTTTCAAATCTGATTCCAACTGCTCACACTCACTGGGAATAAGACATGGAAACACCGTACGGAGATTGCAGTTTGTTGGATTGATAGTCGATGAACATTTATATACTGTCAATACTGGAAACAGTAAGCCGGATGAAACCATATAGAGATTGTATACGCAATCACAGGCTCAAGTGTGTAGAACCGTAACGACGTGTGGTTGTATGAACGTCTTGTAGATGGACTGAGCGAATGTTACTGGTGCATCTACAACATTGAAGTGTATTTGTTTTGTTTTTTACCATGAGAGCTATTCAAAGCTAGCGGGCTGATGAAGTCCGTTGAATGCACATGTACAACAAGTGCATCAACAGTCCCCCAAAACAATGGATTTTCAAACTGCCCAATTCGAAAAACCCAGTTTTACTCACTACTGCAGACAATCAGGTGTGAGAAATCACAGATCTGTTACGTCGCTTGAACCAAGCGCTGATGTGCGCACGCACACAGACTCCCTCCGAGCCATGCCCGCAGGTGTGTGCATCTATGCGTTGAATGATAGATAGTTCATTGAGGGCTGTTAGGCTCGATATCACAGTCCAAGCTTATGCCCTCTGCTACAAAGCCTACTTTAGGCTTCAATCAACTAAACAAAAATGTTTGACAGTTTACAGTCACATCATCAATCAGGCAACCCATGTCTGGTGGTGAATAATAGTACTCGAGAACGGGGGTAAAGACAAAACATAGCACGATCATAAAATTTATCTCGTTGGTCAGTCTGTGGGCGCGTAAGCTTATGTGCACGATCTAGTTCTGTTGTTGGGGCTCACATGTTATCACACATGGGATTTCCGCCGCAGTTGCTGGAATGATTGCATTGGCATTGGGCCAATTAAACTGTTCACTGTCTGCGCGGCGATCAAGCCCTTGTTCATCGTTGTGGATGATCTGACCACTTTTATCGCAAATGGTTTCACTGGCTGGTAGGAGACGATTTCGGATTCCTGATGCAGAATTTACTTAAATTTCACTGGCTATTTTGACCCACCAGTTTTCGCGATCTTTCCCAAGGCTTTTCCCGAGCTGATGTCGTGGACGCAATCGGCTCTGGTTTTGATCCTGACAGACTGGCTTTTTTTTCGCTTTTGGTCCATCTGGACTCATGACAGATCCAATGTCTTTGATGAAGTTCGGGTTCGGCCCCACAGGCAATGTTTTACTGCCGAACGATGCATCATTCATCGCACATCTTATTTGATACCACCATCGATCCACTCCGTCAAGCCGCAATGCTCCTAGCTTCCCCTCATAGCGTGCGCAAACAGACGGATCGCGCAGACGACGATAAAGTAACCGATTTTTGACGATGACCGATGAGTCTTAGAGTGAACCGCCTCAGAACTAGTCATCATCGCATACTGAAATACAGTGAAGCGAACTTCACCGATCCCCACCAAGACCGGAATGCATACAAGGTTAGTGAACGGCGATTGAACCTACTCTGATGGAGAGAGGAGATGAACCTCTATGGTCAACACACAGGGTGCACATTCGAACTCTGCATGCATACCATTTCAAGCATTCTGGCCTGATAAGAAATGACAAAAAGAACGCCACCGCTGTCGGTTAGCTGCCATATTCTTCAATCTGTCCAACTAACCAGTTAGGGAGCTTTTCGGAACCAAAACTGGAAAGTGCGAGACTCCGGCTCTATGCACCTCTTCATACCTAGCCTCCATGTCATCTGCTGACCTCCATGTGGATTCACCCAGCCCGGAACGGCTACAAAGAATAAGGTGCGATGTGATAGACGGCAGTTGCTTGCTAGCAGGTATATCGAATTCAGATTAGTAGACTGCGCTGGCAACCATAATAGCGATTGTGTGTGAATGGCACTGTATCGCACATATCAAACAGCTTCTAATTCCTACAAGCAATAAGTGTCACATTGTTTGACGGAACTCCATGAGAATCGAGGCAGGTTCACACCAGCCAGAACCATATCAATCAACAAATGGATAGATGCCAGAGACTCCAAGAACACCGAAACTATTCAAGCATCGGTTTTATTTAATTATAACGTCTTAGAGAGATGAACAACAGATATAGTTACGAAGACCTGCTGATCAGTCACTGAAACCGCCGATCGAAGTTCCTGGACTTGGAGTGGAGAACCATCAGCTTGGGCGTGGTATGGAACCGAACGACAGCAAAGCTGCCTACCACCAAGATTGGATGACGGTGGAAGGGTTCTAACCTCGAACTACAAGGTCCCAAGCACGGCGGCGACAGCTATTAAACCAGTACCCCACCACCATTTTTAATATTTAAAATACTGCTTCGGGGGGTTGTTTCGCGTCACGAGTCTGTTGACTAGATACACTCGAACGGTGAACAACCATAGTCTTCATAGTCTTACCAATGGCGTTTGCTCTATGAAAGCTGATTTGGTGAAAACTAGCTGAGTAGTTATCATCACGCTCGAAAGACAGTTAATTTCACAGCAGCAGCGGGCAGCAATTTCGACATCGCCGTTGGTAATGTGTTGCTAGTCGACTGCCAAGAACATTGACCACTGTCACTGTTGAGCTTCACACTCACAACAGTAGAGCACAGTCGCGCATGGATGATTTCACTCGACGAAAGAGATTGTGCGAGCTTGCAGATATCGGTAGTTTGGTGCGTATACAAATTGGACGGTAATACGGAACCGAGCGAAACGTAGAACAGAATTCCAAATCACCCGTAACCGAACGCGACAATATATTTCTTCTTCGTTTCTGGATCTGCTGTTGATCAGTCAACACTTTGCCAGTCAGCCCTGTGTAGAAGCAGAAAAAATAACGTAAAAAAACCGACAGACAGACAGAAAAACCGACAGATAGACAAGCAAATCAAAGATAGACGGAAAAGGATGGTGGTTGTTAGGGGTCACATTCCGGAGGAAAAACTCCGTCTGTACAACGACAACAGTCGGACAATCGAATGAAGAATATACGAGGTGGTGATGATGGGAACACGGTGCAGTTGGATAAAGACTGATGACACAGACAATTCACGTATACTAGGAGAGAGGGAGAGAAAACTATTGAGACCTAAACAATTTTGGTAGATAATGGAAGAAGCGCGCGGTCCTCATGGGATTGAATGAAGGGACCAGTCAGGACGGCACATGGGGTCATTGATATAATTAAGTAAAGTAAAGGAACACAGCTGGAGGATTTGGATGTAGTTTGAGAACAAAAATGACAATAAACTGTGTTCACGTGGCCAATCGCCTGGGTTTATGGAAGATGTATCGATAGGACTGCGCACTAACTCAAGATTTGGTCAGGCAAAATGAGAGAATTATGAAGATAAACTAGAAAGAGTGATACGATATTGTCGGAAAGAAACCGGGACCGACCAGTGGTCAAGAGCATACAGTATGTT